TACCTTCTAATAGGCACAGGCATAGTCTTCCACAACAAAGAATCATCCGGTTCAATATGTCAGCAGTGCTGAGATTGAGAAACCCTGGTTCAAGCACTAAATATGTTTGTTATTCACAGTCAAATGCATTCCTGACTGATACACATTCCCTCATTTGGGAAACACTAAACATACATCATGGAACATGCATTATACCAGGCAAGATGCCAGAAGTAAAAAAACGAGTGAGGTCCACCCCATCGCCACAGAAGCTTACAGTCTAATGGGATAGATGGACATGTTTGGATAAAAATAAAAGTATATGTTCTAAGAGAGATCAGCATCCAGATGTGGGACAGAGGATGGAGCAACTACCAGGCAGCTCTGCAGAGCTTGGGCAGGCTTCAGAGGGAAGGCTACTGGGCTAGAGATTGGGAGGTGGGGAAGAGGGACCAAGTAGAGACTTTCCACCAGAGAAAAGAGGAGGTGTAAAGGCCAACCTTGTGCATGGGCCTGGAGGGTCCAAGGTTAGAGTGACAACAGCCTAAGGTATGTGAGAGAGAACGGTGGGGAAAAAATGAGAATGGCTGGCTGGTGCTTGTTACAGAAAGCCTTACCTACCGAGCTAAAGGCTTTGGATGTTATCCTGTAGGCAATGAGGAGTGGGCACAGAATTTTATTCACAAGAAAGACATGATTATATTTTTAGAAACATAACTAGTGGCAGTGTAAGGAATGTCTAGTAAACAGGCTGGAGTTGGAAAGACACATTTGAGGCTAGGCAAAAATTCAGTTGAGAGATTACCATTAATATTCTGAAAAGTACAGCAAGAAGTAATCAAAAGGAGAGAATAAATGTTTAGGATGTTCTGTGTCATATGTTCTTTTGTAATTCATCCCCTCAACAAAGGTACTTTATTCTTGGCATTTTTTTTTACTTTACCACTTTTATTTATTTATACTCTAAGGGGAAAGACACACAAAACTCCTCACTGAGGGCATCTCCAGAGTTGACAAATTGACTTTCTTGGATTCTAGAGCAATCCTTTGAGACCCAGATATTCTTGCCAGTGGAGGGTCTAGAGTAAGTCTAGACATCCAGACATTTTATAGTTGACCTTGATTTTTAAGTCTTTCGTATTTGGGGAATTTGACCCTTAATTTTGTACTCCTTCAGGGTTTTTCCAGCATGGTCCCTCGACGAAACCAAGAGGTAGATATACATGCTCATTAGCCACTCACCTACAAGGCTTCTTAGCTCCTGGCCATGAATATATCCTCCCTGTTATCAAGAGAATACGTGTAATGAGAACCTAGCTATATGGCAAGTTCCATACAAGGTGCTGAGAACACAGAGGAGGCACATTCTTGCCTTCAGCATCATTGGGTTTAGAATTATTTGTTCCACATTTTTTGAGTACCTACTCTGTGCCAGGCATATGGAGACATATCAGACATATGGAGACATTCATAAAGGCAGCAGTATATAAATGACTTTTTATGAGACAGTTCTCACCAAGGCACTGTGATTCTTCACAAATGTTCAGAAGCAACAATTGTGTCCATAATCCTTGGCATTCACAAGGCTTCTCTATAGCTGCTAGCGATTCTGTTACTCTTTGGAAGGTGGTAGAAAATCAGGTAACTCATTAACAAAAAGGTCACACCAGAACCAGTATAAAAGTCCTAATAAATGTGGTTCCTTTTAAAGATCACTCATTCCCCAACTCCTTGGGACATTACATGCTCTCTTTGCCACAGACGTTTCAAGGACTTATTTTTAGGATCTATATCTGGACTTCCATTTAAAAGCCTCAAAGTTGGGCACCTATGTGGCTCAGTCTTAAGCGTCTGCCTTCGGCTCAGGTCATGATCCCAGGTTCTGGGATCAAGCCCCATATCAGGCTCTCTGAGTCTACTTATCCCTCTCCCTCTGTGCTCTCTCCCTGTCTCTTGCACACGTTGATGTGCCCTCTCTCAAATAATAAAATCCTTAAAAATAAATAAATAAAAGCCTCAAAGTTGGTAAATTTTTGTCATGTACATGTGTTAGTTTTCAGATATTGCTGAAATTAATTCAGAGTCAAGTCTAATAGAAAAGGTGGTCATACTGGGTGTTCCCAGAAGTCAAATAAAATAATTGTGTGCTTAGTTCTGAAAGAAGCTCCAAATAAAAAATACTTTGAATAACAGCATGGTTTGTTGGAAATAATGTGTTTGTTTCTGCAGCTGCTGAGAGGATTACACCCACCCTCAATGATTATGAAAAACTAGTATCTATTCCATTAAATCACACATTTAGACTCAAACTCTTCTATGGATTAATTGTACACTTTTTCTGTCACTGCCAGGGAATTCTACAAGTTTACAATACTTCAGTCATTTCATTTTAATTACAAAGGGAAAACACAGGAAGAGAATAATGAGAAATAATAAACTATTGAAAGGGAAGATCTTAAAGAAAATTTAAGGTGTTATGTACATTAGGGAGATCTCAAATAGTCCTGGGACTATAGTATACAAAATTCCACGTGAAAGACAAGTAATCTTTCTAAGGTGGAAATTCCCTTCATCATGGGGTACAAAACTGTGATGTCCTGGGTCAGGGGAATAAATGTTATTCTGTTTAACAGATACTGATTTAACAACTGTTATGAAATGCGTCCTGGGAGATATAGTTCTCCCTCCTGTGAGCTTGACTGTGGGAAGTGGGCCCTTCTGGAAGACTCAGAAGCCAAGTAAGGCCAACGAATCTGCATGCAATCCCTGAATATCTTCAGGATGTGGGTTCTGTGTAATCCTGCCTTCTCATGCAGATAAGGAAATGTCAAGTAACTTGCCAAATACTATATCCAAAAGTAGATTAGAACCCTGATCTCATTACTAAATAGCACTGTTTACTGCAATAGTTTAATAAACAAATGATAAGACTTTGAACTGAATGTGCAGTCCTATTTTATAGACATTTGCCAGAACACATCCCAACAAGTGCTGTCCTATGTGTTTGCCCCAGTAGAGACTTTCTGCTGACCATGCTTCAGAGCCCAGTGACCATGAAGCCAATGAATATTCAATCGTTTTCTGTGATGTCCCTCAACAGTATGACTTAGGGAGGCTTCAGCTCAAGTCACTGCCAGGTGACTTCTTTCATGCCTATGTGAGAATAGATAAATACTTCCAACCCACATGGCCCCATGGATGAGAAGGTGTTAGGAACAATCTCTCTCCCCCAAGGCTCCATGAATAGAAAATAGGATGGGCACTTCCAAGCCATTTTGCCAAAAAATTCAAAGATGATGGGGTGAGGCGGTATTTTAGGTTTGGGTGACTTGGGGAAACACTTCCCCATTCTGGAACCCGATAACATAATCCCCCAAATGCTGTCTTTCAGGATTCAGTCCCAAATGCCTACAAAAAGGTAAAGAGTAACATAAAACAAGTCTTTATCTTTTATTTACCTCTACCCGATAAACCCTGAATGACTCTGTTCCCTGCCTTTGATTGTTCTGTCTGCCTATTTCCGCTAAGAGTTTACAAAACAGCACTCCCAAACAGGAAGATAAGAGGCGCACCTATTTGTTGAATAACATCAAGGAAGAAAACTGCTAACTCATCTATTTTGTTGTTAAATTGCTGAAAAGGATCAAAATACCAATTAACTTGCTGGCTCAGAAATCTTTGATACCTTCGGATTTACTGACATTTTGAAATTCTCGTTCATACTTGCCTAATGGCTTTCTGATTACAAACAAAGAAGTGCCAATCTGTTTAGCATTTGACCTGTTTTCTTAAATATTTTTATGTATTCCACACTTAGTGGCTAAAAATACTTGACTAGTCACATTCATGTGCTAAAATAGTTTTTCTTGTTCGACCTCCAAATTTAAGAGGAAAAAGGAGCTCAAAGACACTTCTTTTTTAAAAGCCATTTTGTTATTTTTTAATTAAAAAACTCTCACTGTAAGGACATTTCTTTGCCTTTCTTCTCCATGGAATGTAATGGCATTGGAAGACTCGATGAAGCAGGATACCATATTGGAATCCATTCTTCCCGGAGAAAAAGTTGGAAAAATGACCTTGAGCATAAGTTTCAGAAAGGAGGTAAAAAGAAACTAAAGATGGCTGATGGGGTGCAGATTTTATAATGGGTTTAATTTTCTTCTCTGGATGTCCTCAGATAGCAGTGTATCTCACAGGTGGCTTTTTGTTATTGTTACCCTCTATTTCCTCACATTTTACAAAGTTTTGTAAAAATTCCACCCATAGTCACATGCTACACAATGCATCCCTCTGGCCATTGTATAGAAAATAATATGTTCTCACTCCTAGATAAAGTCAACTTCTGGGTCTAAAAAGCTCTAAAACAATTTATTTCAATAAACACTGAATTCCATGGACAGAGGAAATTAAAAGTGTAGATGCTGAAGACTGCGTGGGTTCAAATTTCTGCTCTACCACTTACTAGCATGGGACCTTGGGAAAGTCACTTATGTTTCTTTCTGTGCCTCAATTTCTTCATCTGTAAAATGGGAATAATAATACAGCCTAGCTTACAGGGTTGTTCTATGGATCAAATGAGATTATACATCTAGGACATTCTAGGTGCTATGTAAATGTTAGCTATCCTATTACATCATGCCATTGTTTTAGCCTGAGAGAGGATTTGGGTGCCTGGGTGTATTCACATCCACTGGAATCTCAACCCACTTATGGAGGAACACTTTCATCATATCAATTAAGTATCTGGAGGCTCTGAAATCTAAGGATATATGTAACTTATATATCTATGGAAGTTTTTATTTTTTAAAAGTCATCAGAAGGGTGCTTACTCTGTCCTTCAGAGCACTGCAATTTAGTTGCAGCACAATAAAAATGCAACATTTAAGCAAGTAAATGGTAGCTGGTAACTAGCCAATTAAATGTTAGGAGGCAAACAAGCAGGAGGAGCAGTCCCAGGGGACAGGGAGAGCCACAGGACAATTATATTTAACATAATGTATTTCCCAAGATTCTGGCCTGACCTTTTCACAAACTCTTCAAAGAGGATGCGGTGGGAATACCCCTGCCTGCGGATGCTGACTGTCTCCAGGATCCCTGTAGAGCGGAGCTGGGCCAGCACATTCTCTCGGGAGAACTTCAGGGCCTCTCGGTCATCATTGGGTTTAATGCAGCGCACAAAGTGGGGCTGTCCGACCACCATTTTGGAGAGCAGATCCATCAGAGAATACTACCAGGGGAAAAAATACACGTGAAATGAGGTTACCACAAACATAGTGGATAATTTTTTTTTTTTTTTAAGATTTTATTTATTTATTTGACAGCGAGAGACACAGTGAGAGGGGGAACACAGCAGGGGGGAGTGGGAGAGGGAGAAGCAGGCCTCCCACCGAGCAGGGAGCCCGACGCGGGGCTGGATCCCAGGACCCTGGGATCATGACCTGAGTCGAAGGCAGACGCTTAACGACTGAGCCACCCAGGCACCCCAACATAGTGGATAATTACAACATAGGCCCACAGGGACCTTTAGAGCAGTTTGTTGGCTCGTAAACAACTCACACACCTTTATAAGGCCGAAAAAGAAACCAGCAATAGGGGGTGATAATATAGCTTCTGATGAGTACTTATAGCTGCCTGTGGATTCAAAAGCACTCTTTAAACATCACCTAGTGCCAGGGCGCCTGGGTGGCTTAGCTGGTCGAGTGTTCTACTCTTGATTTCAGCTCAGGTCATGATGTCAGCGTCATGGGAATGAGCCCTGCGTCAGGCTCCCTGCTCAGCCAGGTGTCTGCTTGAGATTCTCTTCTTCTGACCCTCCCTCCTACTTGCACTCTCTCTCTCTCTCTCAAAATGAACAGATGAGGGGCATTTAGGTGGCTCATTCGGTTAAGCATCCAACTCTTGATTTCGGCTCAGGTCATGATCTCAGGGTCGTGGGATTGAGCCTAGAGCGGGCTCCTCACTCAGCAGGGAGTCTGCTTGAGATTTTCTTCTCTCCCTCTTCTTCTGTCCCTCCCCCCAGCTCACGCTCTCTCTCTCTCAAATAAATAAATATTTAAAAAATAAAGAAAGAAATCAAATAGATGAATCTTTAAAAAATAAATAAATATCACCGAGTGCCAAGCAATATCCCTATGAGGCAGAAACTTAGCTGTCGAAGAACATGCTTGGGTCACCCAGTAACTCCATTGCCAGAACCAGCTTGTGTGGTATTCTAACGCAGTACTCTATAAACTGTACCTGTAATTTAAAAGGTCTAGCTTTTAGGAAAGGGGCCAGTTGCTTCTTTAGCCTAAGAACCATCAGAAAGTCTAAGCAAATCCTACCAATATCACTGGTAATGAAGCAGAAGAGAAACAAGAAACAGAAAAAGGGCAAAGAACACAAGAAAACTGGAGAAAAGGAGACTATCATGAAGATCAACTAACATCCGTCAAGTGGCTGGCAGGGAGCTCTCACAGAAAGAGGGCACGTGGAAAAGCAGAGCACTGCTTGTGTGGGGACAGCCTCAGTTGCTCCTCAGGGGTGTCCACCTTTGGAACATCTCTGTGGACACACCTTCAGGGGCAATTACAAGCCACACAGGAAATCAGTCCCATTATTTCATAATCACACCTCCTAGTGATCGAAAATGGTATTACCTAGCTTGCTGCTATATTCTGTTTCTCAGAATTAACATTTGGGGAACACCAAACTGATTGTCATGGATATATTTCTGAAAAATCATAAGGCAAAGATGGCTTCTTCTGAGAGAGGGACTCTAGGATCCTGAAGATGATCTCACAGGGTTGTTCAGAGCCTCCAAATCCCATGGGATGGGGACACACACGCGCACGCACACACACACACACACACACACACCCTACGACACTAGGAGGATACAGCCACTAAAGGGGACAGGACCAGGGTAGGTCTCAAGATAAGAAATAAATGGCAATTAGAAATGTCCAACCATGAGAGTGATGAAGCAGGAGCTGAATATTCACCTGTTAGAGAAGTTGTAGCAAGAATCACCACATGGATGGAGTGCTGGACTCAAAGGCCTCTGGGCCCAATTCATACCCCTCTGAGCCCAATTTTAGTCTACTTCTGAAGTACAGCTGACTAGGTCAGATTTCTTGGCTTTGGATCCTTCTTGAACCTGCTAGCTTTCCATGGAGCCTTCCACCCATGGTGCTGGCTCCAAGGTCCTGTCCTTCAGCCTGCCTCAGCAACCCTAGCTCATGACCACTTGACCTCCCATCCCTGCTGAGCCCTTCCTACTGCAACCTCACCTTACAACCTGAGATCAGTAATTCCATCTTTGGCCTTTTAGCATCTCCACCACAGAGCTGCCTAGACCTTAGCTCCCAGGGGTACATGATCTCTAAGGGGCTTCCAACCCTAGTGCTTTATAATTTGAAGATAAACAAATCTGTGCGAATTGGTACAAAGTGTCTGCATCTTATCTTTCCTATATAATGTGCATTTAACAGAGCCCTTCTAGGTACAATGTTTTTACTCAAAGGAGTCATTTTACTAGCTGAAATATCAAGAATTGGGGCAGCAGAGATGGGAAATAATTGGGTCTGGCAATGGGTCAATTTGATCTAGGAAAATAAAGTTAAAACTAAGACAGATTCCCTCAGGATCTGAACTTAATAAGCCACCTTCTGGAATTTTATTAACTATTTTATTTCTCAGTAAATATGCTGGAAAAGTGGCTGGTTCCAGTAGCTTTAAGGTCAAGGAGCAGCTCAAATGCTAATAGAATCAGCACATTGAATGGACAGAGCTATGTGCCAGTGACAGAGAGGGCCCCCTCTGGAGACCACATGGGATTTCATCTGATCTTTCTGAAATCAGAGTACATTACACTTAGAGGTAGGTTCCCCACTATAATTTTTCTCTCCCCACACTCCCACCTTTCTTAACTGACTCTTGTGCTTTGCTCTTATTTCAGTGATTCCATCATATCTGGGCCTCTCATGGGAAGGGTTGGGAGTCCTTTTTGGAAACAGGCAGAATAGAGATCAAAAAGACTCCGTACCCGGAAGTAAGAAGCCATGGTCTGCCTCTTCATGTTGGTGGTTTCTTCTGGATGTCGTATCACCTCCAGAGTGTCCACCTGGAGCAGAGGTAGAGGGAAGTAGTTTAAGGATATAGACATTTTCTGGCTTTTCCAAAATCTGAAAGGCTTTTTGGTTAAATACCTGAGGGACCTTGATGTTTAGAACATGATAGTGAATACTGTGGGAGAAGTTTTAAGACATATAAAAGAAAAATAGAATTTGCACTGTTCTACCCACTTGAGAATGGATCACCCTCTGCAAAGTACCATATGGTCTCGGTATAAATAACCATCACTATTATTTCTATTTTTCTTGATGTTCTAATGGGCCCCTGTTAAGTTCTCCAATAAGGTCGCATGAGACCAAAGTATTTCTTAAAAGAAAAGTGGGCAACGACCCATGAGGCTGGGTGATTATAAAGACATGGGCTCAAAGCCCAGGTTGGACCACAGGGAATTAGATGAGCTCCAGTCACCTTCCTGCCACCCTCCCACATCCCACAGTTCCCACGTGCTCACTGTAGATCAGAGCTTGAGATACACCTGTTCGCAATCATCTATCCCAACTACCTAGGCTGACTGGAAGAAATTTATGAATGAAAACAATTGTAGGAAACAGCCTGTTTTGTTACTGTACCTCAACAATAAAAACACTGCTCCTGCACATACAAGCTATTTGGTTTGCAAAGTGCACGAGAGGCATTTTAGGACCAGCCTCTGCCGTGGCAGCCTCCCATCTGCTCGGAACAGGTGGCAAGGGGATGAGGCAGGAATGTTTGAACTGGAAGATGCTGCTGTCAGCAAGTGTGTTCTGCTTGGTGGACTGCTGTCCAGGCGGCCACCTCCCCGTAGGGTGAGGATGTCTGCAGCCTCATTCAGTAAAAGTGCAAAGTGGGTGCTACAAGGGGGGAGGGCACGAGGGTAGGGGCAAATAATGAAGCCTTCCTCAAGGGGTATTTAGGAGACTGTGCAAAATGGAAGGAAATGCTTCAATTGGCTTAAAGAATACAGGTTTGTTTAAGAAAGGGAATAAATGGGGAGCTAAGTTTTCAAAAATTAGAGAAGCAACCCAAATAGTGAGCAGGAATATGAGGCTATCCCTGCGTGAAGCGATGTCAGGGGGCAGTGCAGCTTCCTTTTCTAGGCTGCATGTTGGATGCGTTCCCAAAGCCATCAGTTCATTTACATGCAGCTGAAGCTATGGTACAACTGCCTCTAGGTTTGACTTTTTTATTTTTTTAATGAGAAAGGAGGAAATGAAAGCTTGGTGTTGAGCAGGAAGGCTGTTCTAATATAGAAAAGGGAAAAACAGACATCACCACCCGCCCCACCTGCAGAGACTGTATTGCACTCTCCCCACAGGCATCTGCCAGGACCCACTGAAGGTCCTCTTCGCCCATCGCATCTCTGTTTGGAGGATGGCTCTCAGAGCTGGTGAGTTTTGGGGCCAGCAAAGGAGGACTGAAGGAAAGAGGATCTTGGCTAGGGTCTGCCTTCCGCCAAATTGTAAATTCTAAGTTTTCCTGAACTTTTTTTCTCCTTACTTTCTTTCCCCCCAACTTGACCTTTATACACACACACACACATTTTCTAAACTTGGGAATTTCTCCACCACTTCCTTTTATTCAGAGATCCTCCCTGAAGAACCTGTCTTACTTTGAACTTTGCTTTTCCTCCCTCATTTCCCTCCCTTTTTATTCAAACTAGTCAGTGAGTGCCAGCCCTTCAGACTCTAGGGCACAGTAAAAGGGCAGCTTAAAAACTCATCCATATTTCTCTATTAGGAGGATTTACCTGTTAGCTTCCCTCAGGACATACAATGGGCCCTTGGCATTTGAGAATTTAACAGTTTAGTGATCAGAAAACCCTTGATAGAAATTGTGCTGAGACATAATTTAAAAGGTACAATAAGTACTGTTTTCAAAATCACTACTTGTCCTCTGCAGCAAACTGGAAAAATAAAGAATGAAGCACTACTTTGCACTCCAAAAGTTACAAAGCTGATCGACTCCCCTATCTAACCACCCACCATGACCAAGTTCTGTCCTTCTACTCACATACAGAGTAACTCTTGGGAAGAAGTAAAAACCTATTTGGTATTACATACAGCCTGGAAGTGCTAATGCTTGTCCACAGTTTATTACCTATATATTTAGTACTGCATTTTAAAGAATAAATAACATGCTATTGAGGTATTTTCTAATTTAAGAATTTGGAAAGGTCTTGTTTTGGTCAAGGACTTCTTGTATAGTCACAAGGTTCTGAACATGGAGTGGATCTGAAAGAGGGAATTTTGGACAAGGGACATAGCAGAAGTAGAGTCTCTTGGTCCTTCAAACTAGGAAACTAGGCACAAACCTCAGCTCTGTCTGTACCAGGTCTACCAGGAACTCTAAGGAACTCCCCCCAAATCCAAACCAAAGCAGAAGTGAAGGTTGGGCGCCTGGGTGGCTCAGTCGGTTAAGCGACTGCCTTCGGCTCAGGTCATGATCCTGGAGTCCCGGGATCGAGTCCCGCATCGGGCTCCCTGCTCAGCGGGGAGTCTGCTTCTCCCTCTGACCCTCCTCCCTCTCGTGCTCTCTGTCTCTCATTCTCTCTCTCGCAAATAAATAAATAAAATCTTTAAAAAAAAAAAAAAGAAGTGAAGGTTGTTGTCTGACCTAAAAGTTTGTCATCCTGAGCTAATTTACATTAGGGATATCATCTAGCATATAGTTCTTCTCAAAGATAGAGAATTCACAAGAAACGGTCTTCCCCAGAGGATCTTAAAAGCTTTTACCTCAGATAGGGGAAAAAGACACTAGAAAAGCTTCCCTGGGCTTAGAGGATATATGCTATAGAACACAGAGTTTTGGAACTGGACATACCTGGTTCAAATCCTAGCTCCTCCACTTACTATCTCTGTGCACTTGGACTTGTTATTCAACTTCTCAAAAGCTCTGTTTTCCTTATTAGGAAAACTGGTTAGTAAAAGCAACTGCTTTGTACACATGCAAGAAGTGCATCCGTTCCCCTTCCATTATTGCCATGCTTAACTTAATTTTAGTTTAGCAATGAATGTCAAAGATGCAGGGATTTCTTCAATGGCAGATGGCAAGTACTAGCACCCATGCAACACAGCAAGGAGATCTTTTTACTTATTGGCAGAGAAAATACTTCCAATGAAACCAATTTCAAAATGATCAGTAGAACCAATATTCTGGATCAAACCACTGTCTGTCTAACCCAGTATCCTTTCTCCTCCAATGCCAAATTATACCATGATATAAGTCAGCTGGAGCTGAGCAAGTCGGCTTTCTGCCCACACGACAAATGTCCTGCCCAATTCCTTGTGAGAGGCGCTGGTTAGTGTTCAAAGTAGTCCTGAGCAAGCTTTAAAATTGTAATACAGACTCCAAGTCCACAGGAAATGAGCAAGCTTCAGTATACGCATGGCCTCCACACATGGAGTTTCAGATGGTTATCAAAACATGAATAATAAAACATCTACTGTTCCCAAGTAAAAATCATTGTAATAACCACTTTGCCTCTATTATGCCAGTAAGGTCTCAAAATGACCCTATGAGGTAAGTACTATTATTATTCTTATTGTACATATGAGGAGGTTAAGGCTCAGAGATTTTAGGGAAATTTTCCAGAGTCTTGCAGCTAGTAATTGGCTATGCGCACCTCTGAACCCAGTTCTGTCTGATTCCAAAACCTTACTTTTTTTTTTAATTTTATTATGGTAATCACCATACATTACATCATTAGTTTTTGATGTAGTGTTCCATGATTCATTGTTTGCGTATGCTTCTTAAACATTATATACTGCCTTTCTATGTGATTTGATATAACTTATAATATGGGTCTGAAAGCATGGTATTATTAAAAAGACTTGCCTCATCTGTCAACAAAATTTACTTTATGACAAAGACATAGATTCCAAGAAGTCTCATAAACCATCTAGATTTCAGCAATAAATAAAAAACTGAAAGATTTTTTTCCTGGTCTCAGTAAGTGCCCACTATTTGCATCCTGAAACCTCAGAGGTGCTTATATTCATCTTCCTGACAACATCTTTTGTCAAGAATTTTTACTGCTATCAAGTGATCCATCCACCCCTTAAGGAAAAAAGCCCTACAGCGTCACTCCTCTCAGAGGCTCCACAGCCCTCAATGGAAAAGCAAAACTTTTCCTTGACACCATCCATGTGTCATAGTATGGTGGTGCAGAATGTGTTGGGAGCCAGCTTTCTAACAGACCACCTGTGTTATTTGACCTTGGATAAGGCAGAGAAAAACACTGCTTTTTTATTGTTGTTGTGACGCTTATTTTCTAGTGCCTTAACTACAACTTTCAACTCATCTCTCTTCCAAATGAAAACAAATCATGAGTCATTTTCATCTCACTGATACACACTATTATGGTAATGATGTAAATATATGCCTCATACTAGAGGGCACATTGTCACATAGGCAAGGTCTGAACAACAGGAGGCAGTGTAGAGAGAGGTAACACTGTGCTGATATTCTGGATGTGGGAGACAGGGGAACAGGGTCCTGGCAGAATCCAATAGCCACAAAATCAAATTGAGGAAAAGACCGTAATGGGGGCTGATAGAGAATATTACACAGGAGTCTTTAATCTTTTTGCGTCATGATCTCTTTCAGAATCTAGTGGGAGCCAATGACTCCAAAAAAACCAAATATAGCTGATCCTCATTCTTCGTGGATTATATATTTGTGAATGTGCCACTTTCTAAAATTCATTTTTAACCCCCAAATCAGTGCCTACCATGCTTTCATGATTATTCACAGACATACAGAGTGGTGAAAACTTTGATCCCCTGATGTACGTGTTTCCAGCTCAGGTTGAACAGGTGATGCTCTGCCTTCCTGTTTTAGCTCTCATGCTATATGCAAGTGTCCTTTTCCAGGCTTATTGAAGTGCCATGTGTTTTGTGTTTTTGTACTTTTGGCTAGTGATTTCACTGTTTATAATAGCCCCCAAGCACAGTGCTGGAGTACTGTCTAGTGTTCCTAAGTGTAAGAAGGCTATTAAATACCTCTTGGAGAACATATGTGCATTAGATAAGCTTCATTCAGGCATGAGTTATAGTGCTGTTGGCCTTGAATTCAATGACACAAATACTGTAATTAAAATATTATTTTAGGGGCTCCTGGGTGACTGAGTCGGTTAAGCGTCCAACTCTTGGTTTTGGCTCAGGTCATGATCTCAGATCCTGAGATCGAGACCTGCACTGGGCTCCATGCTCAGAGGGGAATCTGCTAGAGACTTTCTCCCTCTCCCTCTGCCCCCTCCCTGCTCGCATTTGCTCTTGCTCTAGTTCTCTCTCTCTCTCTCAAATAAATGAATAAATCTTTTAAAAACTAAAACATTATTTGATACAAAGAAATACTGCATATAATTATTTATAAGAAATATATATTAAATGATGTGCCTTTAAGTAGAAACCCACATGAAACAAGATTATGTACTAACTGGTTGCCAACAAGGTTGTGAGCAGAAGCTACCAGGAACCTAACCACGTATTTCCCCTAGGAGCAATGCTTCAGTATTTGCTGATTCAGTGTTCACAGCAACTTTACAGAACATAATTTCATGAAGAATAAGAATCAACTGGATTTACAAAATTTTACATGTAATAATATCAAGAGGCTCTTAGAACCAATGAAACTCCAATGTAAATCTCTTCTAGGGGCCCATAAAATCCATGTTATATAGTCCTAATATCTTGCCACAAACTCACAAGACTGAAAAGTAGAGTAATACATGTAGTTATAATAGCAACGTGGGTATAAAAATTATTGTTAACAAAAATTATCTGAGTCCCTATTACATGTAGGTAAGTCTTTCATTCTCAAAGAAAGTTAAGTATACATATATATGTTTGTATCAATTTTGAGATAATATTCAACAGTATTCCGTGTGGCTGAATTTATTATTCTTTATTAAATAATATTCTATGTAAATAAAAATATATGAAAATTCAGAGATGTGATCTATTTATTCTATTACTCCATCACCTTAGATAACTGGATTTTGGCGTTAGTATATACAATGAACATTAACCAGCCAATCAGTCCTTGAGATCCTTGCTAAACATTAGCTGAAAGGATGTAACAGTTAAAAATATTTTACAGTGGGATATTTATTAACCCTTCTAACATTCCCTTTGCACAGACAAGTATACCCCTCATTTTTCAGAGAGCAAAGAAGAATGACAGGAAATGGTTTGGTTTCTTTCCTCCCTACTGACTCCATTTGGCCCCTGTTATCCTCCTCCATAGGTTGGTGACAGGCTCAAGGCAAAGTGCTTTATCTCTTCTAGATAGACTTTACTTTCAAGTGTCATTGTTCTGTATCCTAAGTGGTCTTTCTGAGAATCACATGAAGGGGTCCAGAATATGCCACAGTGGCGTAGCTATTATTTTGAGTTGAAGACATTTGAGAATCAACAGTTACAAGAAGAGGCTTTTTCTAAACTCCCCTTATCTGGCTGAAAACAGGCCCTCTCAAAATCATCCCACTGTCATAAATCTCCTCCCTGGCAGTTTCACAGCCTGCCATGGAAGATTGACTCCTATCACCAGAGATGAGAAATGAGCACTGGGATAAGAAACTGCCTAAACAGACACCGTCATAAAACTATCATACCTCCCATCTATTCTCCTAAGGGACCATTTGTTTTTCCCAAAAGTCATCTGTTCTCCCACAAGGGCCCTCCTCCCCGACCTCCTACCTCATTCATCCCCTTTTAAGATAGCATATAGCCTCAAATTCTAACTAACCCCCTCTTAAGTCACTTTTTTGAGTGAGTTCCTGTATGTATATAGTTAAAATTTGTTTTTTCTTCTGTTAATCTTTCAGGTTGAGTTTAATTCAGTCCCTCAAGAACTAAAGTTAAGAGGGTAGAGGAAACATTTTCTTTCATAACACAGCATTGTAAGGATTCCATGATGTTGTTTCAAATTTCCTAACCCCTGATTTCCTAAATGCCTTCCATCTCTTTACCAGATTTCCCTGGCAGTGGGCCAGATAAACTAAAGTTGCTTACTCTAGGATTATCCCCAAGGCAGGAGCACCCCATGGTCCACATTATTTTAAGTACAAACCTGCTACTCACCTTGGCTCTCCCAGCACTGAAATGGGGAGGCAAAGATCTTGAGGCTGCTATTATCCTGGCTCTTGTCTGGGCCAAGTTACCTGAGCAAAAAAGACAAAAAAGTTAAAGTGAAGGAAAAATTAAGAAATAGTATTATGAGTAATTTTTCCTTTTATGTACTTGTATTTTTATTAATTTCCCAAATGATCTGCTCTGAGTATGAAAAATTTGGAAGAATTTGAATTTTGAAACTTTAATGATATAAATTATAAACAAATTATAATAATTTATAAATTATAATTTATTATACAAATTGAATCTACCTTAGTTTCATAAGCAAAAAGGAAACAATAAAAAACTCTCCAATTCACTCAATAAACTAGCAATAGAAGGAAATTGCCACAAAATAAAAAGGACATATATGAAAAGCCCACAGCTAACATACTCAACAGTGAAAGATCAAAAGCTTTTTCCTCTAAGATCAGGAACAGGGCAAGGATGCTCACTCTCACCACTTGTATTCAACTAGCAGTCAAGCTCAAGCAATTAGGCAAGAAAAAGAAATAAAAGACTTCCAAATTATAAAGAAAGAAGTAAAATGATCTCTGTTCATAGGTGGCATGATCTTATATATAGAAAACCCTAAAGATGCTACCGAAAAAGCTGTTAGAACTAATAAGTCAATTCAGCAACGTTATAAGATATAAAATCAGCATCAAAAAATCAGTTGCATTTCTATGCACTAACAATGAAAATTTGAAAAGGAAATTAAGAAAATACTATTTACAATAGCATCAAAAAGAATAAAATACTTAGAAATAAACTTAACCAAGGAGGCAAAAGACTTGTACTTGCTGATACTTAGTGTTAAGTAACTCAAGGGGTGGTTAGAATTGGGCTCACATAGCATCTTAACCAAAGAACAATAAATGTCTAGGTAAGTGACAAAAGATCTTTGAGTTTTTAGGGGCAGTAAATTATGGGAAAGTAAATATATGAGGAAGCCAATGGAAGGTAAGGGCAAGTTAGTAAAGTTTTGTTATACAGATTCCTCTGGTGTTGTCTCTGGGCTGATAAGGGTCTAGAGTTGTCTCTGGTGATTAACTTCTGTCCTTCCTAGTAGAGAGGGGTGTGGGGGGGTACTTCTACAAATTTATATCTTGCTTTTATGTAAACGGGGAGGGCAGGGAGCTTTTCTTATATCTACTTCTTCTCAATTACCTTCAGCTCAAATAATCTTTATGCCAAAGTGGCATATTTTTGGGTGGCATATTCTGCTACCCTTTACTGTGTTCATGGATGAAAATATCTAATATTGATAAAATGTCCATGATACCCAAAAAGATCTATAGATTCAAAGTAATCCCCATCAAAATCCTAATGATATCTTCACAGAAATATAAAAAACAACCCTAAAATTCATCTGGAACCACAAAGGATCCAAAGCTCCAAATGATCTTGAGAAGGAAAAGAAAAGCTGAAAGCTTCACGCTTCCTGATTTCAAAATATATTATAAAGCAACAGTAATCAAAAGAGTATTGTCCTGGTATAAGGACAAACATATACACCAATGGAACAGAATGGAGAGCCAGAAATAAATCTATGCATATATGGTCAAATAATCTTTAAGATGTGTATCAAGATTATACAATGAGGAAAGGGTGGTCTCTTCAACAAATTGTATTTGGAAAACTCGATATCCATATGCAAAAAAATGAAACTGGACCCCTATCTTGCACAAAATTAAATTCCTACTGGATTAAAGATTTAAATGTAAGACCTGAAACTAAAAAAACTCCTAGAAAAAAAACAGGGGGAGTTTCATAACATTGATCTTAGCAGTGATTTCTTGGATAGGATATCAAAAGCACAGGCAATAAAAGCAAAAATAGACAAGTGGGTTTACATCAAATCAAAAGCTTCTGCACAGGAAAAGGAAACAATCAACAGAGGGAAAACACAACCTACAGAAGGGAGAAAATACTTGCAGATCATCTAAGGGGTTAATTTCCAAGATCTATATGGAACTTCTACAATGTACAGCAAAATATAAAATAACATAACCTGATTTAAAAATAGGCAAAGGTTGGCTCAGTTGGTTAAGCGTCTGACTCTTGACTTCAGCTCAGGGCATGATCTCAGGGTTGTGGGATTGAGCCCCACGTTGGGCTCCACACTCAGTGCGGAGTCTGCTTGGGATTCTCTCTCTCCCTCTGCCCTTCCTCCCTGTGTGTGCACATGCACGCTCTCTCTCCAAAATAAATAAATAAATCTTGAAAAAAATATAAAAAGAACAAAAAAATTAAAATGGGCAAAGGACTTGAATAGGCATTTTTCCAAAGAGGACATTAAAATGGCCAACAGCTATATAAAAGATGCTCAACATCACTAAGAATCAGGGAAATGCGTATCAAAACCACAACGAGGTATCACTTTATACTGTTAGGATGGTCATTATATAAAACAACAACAATAACAAGAGAAAATAACAAGTATTGGCAAGGATATGGAGAAACTAGAATCTTGGTGCACTCACTGCTAGTGGGAATATAAAGTGGTGCAGCCAATATGGAAAAGAGTGTGGAGGTTCTTGAAAAAATTAAAAATAGAATACCATGTGATCCAACAATCCCACTTCTGGGTATTTAGCCAAAACAACTGGAAATGGAATTGTGAAGAGGTACGTGCCTCCCATGTTCACTGCAGCATTATTCACAACAGCCAAGCACTGAAAACTAAATATTCATCAGATAATGAATGGATACAGAAAATGTGGTATATGCGCACAATGGAATATTATTCAGCCTTATAAAGAAGGATGTCTTGCCATTTGAGACAACACAGATGAACCTTATGCTAAGTGAAATAAGTCAGTCACAGACAAATACTGCATGATTCCACTTCTATGATGTATCTAAAATAGATAAGCTCATAAAAGCACAGAGTAGAATGTTGGTTGCCAGGGGCTGCGAGGACAGGGAAATGGGGAGTTGCTGTTCTATGGGTAGAGTTTCAGTAATGCAAGATGACAAAGTTCTAGAGATCTGATCTACAACAATGTGGGTATAGTGAACGATATTGTACTATATACTTAAAAATGTGTTAGGAGGGTAGGTTTCGTGTTACGTGTTTTTACCGCAATAAGAAAAAACAATCTCCAACTAGGGCACTGTCAGTCTTTGAAAGAGACGAATAAGCAAGAAAAAAGATGCTGGGAGTTTTCCCAAAAGAGAAATTGGGCAACAAAGAACCCCACTGTGAAGGTTTAAGACACAGAAACTGATTAGCAGATCTGGCAGTATGGGCCCCTCAGCACACAGGGAGAAAGCCCGCCACGCAGTGAACCAGAGGACATAGAGAGCATGGGCAGTAGCACTGAGTCCTGGGGACTGATGGCTTTTGCATTTGCCCGGGGTGTGAACAAGTTCGCTAGTATCTCAGAGCCCAAGTTTCCTTATCTATAAGATGAAGACAGTATTACCTCATTCTGAGAGTTGTTATGGGCATTCAATGAGGGTAATTCACGATAAGCACTGTCAACATGGGACTTGTTCAAGGTAAGTGCTCACTTCATATTAGCCAGCATTGATTATTATTAATAATATTAATATTATTATTATTTGTTATGATAGTCTGCCCACACAGGTCTCAAAACAGAGAACAGAAGGCAAGAGAATACCAAGGAATCTTACTAATTTGCTACTGTGAGCACTGATCAGTCAAAAAACTCATGAAAGAGGAGAAAAAATGATAAGGCAACCCCCACTTTGAACCTCCATGTCTTGGCCACTCTGATTCCCAATGCTTTTTGCCTTTGAAGAAGCTGAGCTGCCTGTTCAGAAGCTCTTCTCCCCTCACCACCCACCCACCCTTAATCTCCTCTCCCATCCCCAGCCTCCCAAACTAAGTGCTTGAAGATTTGTTTGTTTTTTTTACCTACGATGTCATTCGATTCTGTAGCAAAATAAAAAGTTGTCAATGAAAGGAAATGCAATTTGTGCATATGCAAGACACTCAAGATTTCAAAGTTTTTAGCAAGTCTAGCACAAAGATGTCCAAATGTTTTCTCTGGCGATATCTTCAGAGGCTAAACTGTGATTAATAGCCCAGAAAGAACCCTTTGAAGCAGGATTGGTGACATCAAAGTCATAATCCAGGGGTGGCAGGAGCTTTATAATGAGTGGGAAGCATTTTAACACATTTCAAAGGATTTACAGCATGAATAAACAATAGACCTCAGCAGATGCACTGCACACACCTTTCAGTAACATAACCTATAAGACGTTTCCATTTTAATTTGAATGTAAATACAGTGTTCACATTTGTTTCAGAGCATCCTCCCAGCTTCACCCCTAGACACCCTTTTTGGCTAAGGATGCCTCACTGCCCCAGAGCACCCTCCTGTGCTTCCCGAAACTGTGACTACTGACGTATGTTGGGAAGAGAAACTGGAAGTCAGAGGCATCTAACAGAATTTATATCCTATGTGGGAACTGGGTTAAGAAAGAATCTAAAATGGAGCTTACAATGATCCCACACAATTTCTCTGTTTCCAACTTAAAGAGAAAGAGACAAGTGGTCTGAACACAGAGCTGGAACTTCTAAACAATGGCAATTTCCTGCCTGCTTCAGAGCATTTCATCACTTGGAAAGTACCCAGGACCCATGATTTCATCTTCAGTTGCTTCTTAAGAATTGTCCAAAATGATGGTTGCTGTTTAAATAATCATGCACAGAATTCGGCTTCCCTCTGCTGCCCTCTCTGGGTTTACAGAATTTGTTGCAGGGTTCCCGTGGTGACTGCTAGTAGACATTTGTTTGGAAAATTTTCCTGTTTAAATTTTCCCTAACACAAGGAATACGCTAATAAATCATAAGCTAATAAATTACTGCAAAGCAATGCTGAAATGTAAAAGTCTTATGTCAAATTGCTACTAAGAAAGAAGCAGCAGATAAAAAAATCAAATGTTTCAGTTCATCTATTACCAGAGTAAGTTATCTGAGTAGACCTGATTATTGACACCATTGATCCAACAGTCAGTCTGGATACTGAGAACCTAAACCACACGACACTGTCTACAGAAAAACGACCTTGTACCA